TCTGTGACCATCTCAGAGAAAGAGGTACAGTCCACTCTTGGCACAGAAAGTGCTTCATGAAGCTGGGTGGTGGTGGCACACGCCTTTAATCCCAGCACTTGGGATGCTGAGGCAGGAGGCTCTCTGTGAGTCCCAGGCCATCTTGGTCTATACAGGGAGCTCCAAGACAGCCAGGGCTACACAGAGAAACCTTGTCTCAAAACAAAACAAAAAAGAAACAAAAAACAAACAGTAATAACAAAAAGAAAGTACTTCATGGAAGAAGCAGCAAGACTGGGAAGCTGGTATGGGATAAAAGGGAGACTGATGGGGAAGGAGCAACTTCCTATAGAACTAAGTGATTGGAAGAAGGGAGGCCAAGCTGCTTTGGTCTTTTTTTTTGAGGAGTTGTAGAATTGAAGGTGGTACCTACTGTTTGGTTTCATGGATGAAAGCACATCACACCAGCATCACCTGGGTGACCTGATCCTGGAGGTAACTACCTAAGACAGGAGTTCGAGCCTCACCCAATCCAGGATGCGTTCCAGCTGCTTGGCTCGCAGCACAAGACAAGATAATCAGTTACAGAGGGGCTTAGGAGTAATTCTCAGCTTTTAGGGGAGTGGTGGGGGTCACACAGCCATCTGCTATCAGGAAGGGGCTGCTACTGAAGCAAGGGCTGGGACAAGGTCAGGGAGGGAGAGAGAGAGAGAGAGAGAGAGAGAGAGAGAGAGAGAGAGAGAGAGCGCGCGATAGAACTGGAAAGACCAACCAATAAGAAGTCTTAGTTGCAGGCCAAGAGTACACCTTCCTGGACAGCGCATCTGGGGAACTTCTGCTCACCTTTGGTGACCTGTTCATAGCCATTCTTCATTTCAATCATTTCTAAAAAGAGTCCTCATCCTTGCTAGGTACCTGCTGCTAGGGATTCATACATGAACAAAACCTAGCTCCTGTGGCCTGAGATCACAAGAACATACAAGACACTTGGTGATCCTGATAAAATCAAAAAAGAAGCAGGGATGACCCAAATGTTTGCATTTCTGATCACTCTGGGCTACCAAAGATTTGGAACCTATACCCCTGCACCTTGGCAGCAGGAGGGGCCTTAACAGGTCACAGCCACGAGGGAATGTAGGTCAGTTCCACCATCCACCCTGACAAGCATGAGGGGCTGGGGGCGGGAAGCCTTTCAGAGGCTGGCACCAGAACTGACCTGAGTGGTCCTGGGATACTAAGGACAGATGTCAAGGCAGTTTCTCACAGCACAGTGCTGGTCTTAGCCCTGCCTATGGAGGAGCTTCCAAAGCCCCCAAGCACTCCATCCCAGTTTAGAAGATGGGGAGGTGGGGCCTGCGGCAGGAGCCCACTACAAAGTACAGATCTTTCTGCTGCCTCCCAAGAGCTGAAAGGAGATATAGGCTTTGAGGTCTAAAGAGCAACGGGCAAGGCTCTGGGGAAGCTGTGACAGTCAGCTGTGGGAATAGTAAGCAGAAGGCAGCAGGACAGGAAACGAGGGTCTATGGAGCCTGAGGCCAGAGTGGGGGGTTCCTGGAATCTCAGGGGAAGAAAAGAACTACTTCTCGGGGAACTGGTAGGCTGGAGCCACATCTGGGAACAGGACACCCAGACCAGTTCTTAGTTAGACAACTAGGCTCCTACTGCTTTTCCCCTTATGTGAAGAAAGCTTCCAAGGGTGGCAAAGATGGAATCTCTATGCCTCTCTGAGTGCGGGATTGACAGCCAGGTTCCTGGGCCGGTACAAATGCTTGTCACAACCCTCAGTCAAGGGACTAAGGCACGCTCTCTTCTCTGAGCTGCTGGATGGAGTGGGGCTGATCTAGGTGAACATCCCTGTAAAGTGTTTAACACAGGACCAGGTTTCGATAAGTGCATGGCAATGCTGGCAGCTCTGGGCACCACTGTTACCACAGGGAGAAATGGTCTTGTTCCTGAAAGCCTCCTGGGTTTCTTCCAGGACTTGGTTGTCTGATGACAGGAAGATACTGCTGACATCTGGTCACACCAGCCTAGTCTGCAGGGAATGAAGTGGAATTGGAACATTTCACCTTTGTCCCTTTCAGAGCTAGAGGTGGAGACACCAGACCAAAGAGCCCTGCAAAGTATGTTGCCATGAGCAGTTTTCAGTCCATCAATGGAGCTGGGAATAGAATGCTTGCCGAGAAAAGACAAAGCTATCCCTACTCCTCCCTAGTGGTGGTGCATACCTATAATCCCAGCACCTGGGAGGCGGGGGCTGAATGATTTAAAAATCAAAGTTATCCTTAGTTACCTGATAAATTTAAAGTCAACTTGGGGAACATGAGACCCTGCTTAAAAAAAAAAAAAAGGAAGAAAAAAAGAAAGAAAGAAAAAAATAGGAAAAGAAAGAATGACCCATGGCAAGCAGGCAGGTCATGACACTTAAATGTTAGGATTGTCACACTACAGCTTGGACTCCGAGGGTACCTGGCTCACCTCAGGCCTGATATCTGCCTGAGGGCAGAGCTTGTCCAGGCCTTAGGAGAAAAAGAGATGGATCTTGGGTTCTACTAATTGTTCTGTGGGTCAGGGTGGTCCTACAGAGGACTAGTTACTGTCCCTTTTTTCCACAGCCTGGCAATACAATACATGGTGCAGATTTTTATGAATAGGGTAGAGATGCTATACAGTAACCTGAGTCACAAAAGCCCCAGGCTGGGAGATGGCTTTACTCAGAGGCCTAGGAAGCTCTCCTGCTGTTCTGGAGGGAGTTCTTTTCTGGTCAGGAACAAAGGAGGTGGAACTCAGACCTGGCTGTCTGTGCTGGCAGGAGAGAGTTTATGCTAGGTCACGTGAAAGGAAAAGCCCCATGTGGGCAACTCTGTCTCCAGTGCCCTGGGGACCACTATGGTACTGCATTTAGGGCAACACAGAACCCAGGCATGTGATAGGTCTCTTCCCCATCACTGTGTGGGATCTGCACTACATGAGTGTACAGATCTAATGTGAAGGAGGGGCCGTTGACTTCCCTGGAGATGCCCTGACATTGCCTTCTAAAAAGTCCCTGCATGGAGGGTGGAGTGATTTCCTCTTACATTACACAACACTGTAGTCTCAGGTTCTCAGATCTGTGTCCTGGAGGGGCAGATGACAGTGGACTCTAGACAGGAAGAAGGGCTGGTCTTGCAACCTCTGTCCATGTGCAAATATGCATGTGTGCACAGTGCTCAGGAAGTAATCTGGGGAAGAGCAGCCAGCAGAGCAATGAGGACATTTCCTGCATGCTTTCTGACCTCAACACCGCCCCACACATCCATGGCGTCTGCAGTGGGCCTCCCAAGGCAGCTGAGCCAGGAGAGGGCAGAGGGCAAACTGGCTTCCTGCATTCCTTTTTTACTGATTTGATCTTGACCCTCCAGAGTCATGAACTTATTTGTAAAGTCTGATGCCAGCTGTTGGAGATGTAAATGTGAATGAATGCACCTTCATCTGTCTGGAGGGTCTCATGGCCCCAAGTTCCATAAAGTGCTCAGGCTAACTTTGTGGCTACCAGTAATTGCGGGTTTGTGAAGGAAATTGCAGTATTGGCTATAGGCACTTCTCTGGGATTCTTCCCAAGACTGACTTTCTGCCCATCTTGGATGTTTTATTGTTCTTTTCTATGACTTCTGAGTGTCCCTGGCTGTTATGATTCATTCCAAGAGCTTTGGCAGACCAGGGTAAAAGTCCTACTACTTCAGCCTCATTAATGGCCTACCCATTTTGGTGGGGCAAGGGACTGAGATTCTCTGCCATGTAAGTTTTCTCAGCTCTTGTCTCTAAGCAGCAGCATGCTTTTGATACCCGATGGCCCCCAGGAACCTTGCAGGACCCCAACTCTAGACTGGGTGCCTAAAGTAGTTTCTTGGTTCATACTCTCAGTAGCAGGAACCCATATTGCAGCTATATCAACTTCTCTGTGCCCAGAAAGGAGGTAAAGAAAACATGCTTATAGATGAAACAAAAGACCACAGAGGGTCCTAGGAGCACCAGGTATCTCAGTCTGCCCATGGCTCATGCAATCTTCTGCTGCTGTCACCCTGAAGATGGACAAGACGGTAGGGTGCTATCTCCTAGGGAGGAAGGACTGAGGACCATTGCAGAGCTCCTTCCTCCTGGGCTCCTACTGACCCCCCCACCCCATCTAAGGAAAAGATTTTCTCCATTTCAGTGTAGCTCCTATTACCCATTCTGCACCACACTTGCTTTCTGTCATCTGTCCCCTGAATTTGGGGCTGGACCCTATTATGCTGACTTGAAGACAGAGAGGGTAGAGAATGAACTCTTCTGCTGAGGGACAGGAGGTGGGAGCCACAGCAGGGGTCCTGGCACCAGGATATGGGAGCTGCTTCCTTGACCACAGCTAATGACTGTTCAAGGGAAACTGGTCTCCTGAGTGAGGAAGTGATGGCATCCTGGGGAAATGGGAGAGAGGAAGCCAGGCTGCTGCTGGAGTCCCTCGCTCTGCACATCAGGCAGGACATGCAGCGGGAGAGCCTGGAGCTTGGGCTCCCAAGTACCTCCTGCTGCAGGGCTCTGGAGATCCATAGCTTGTCCCGGAGAGGTGTCCTCAGCACATGGCATATCCAGAGGTGTACCAAGGCCTGAAAATACTCTCCACTTCTCAGACACTGGGCATGGTGTCTGGTCAAACAGTTAGGGGCTTCTACTAGGGTGGGGCAGGTGTAATATGGATCCAAGGCTAGGGACCAGAATACCATGGAGTTGCAGGGGGACACAATGTTACTAAAAGGCTATGAGTGTATGGAAAGCTAATGAGGTCCTTGTGTCTAGACAGCATGAGGGGTTCAAGGGACAAAGACCTGGCAAACATCCAAGACTCATTGGGTAATTTCTTACCAATCTGTGTCCTTGGGCCTTTTTAAGAATCACGTGGCTGAGGGAGGTGGTCTCTGCCTGGGAGAGGAGGAGCTAGGCAGTGTGGCCGGGGACAAGAGCTACCTGCCAACCCGAAGGAACCCGAGGAACAAGCACCAGGAATGGCTTGGCTACCTTCACTTGCAAGGACAGCCCGGAAACAGCCTGTTTGAATTATCCTGTCTCTTGCCTGGGCTGCCTGCCATGCTGAGAGCTATTCTGAGCTTTGTTGAGGAGGAAATGGCTGCCTAGCCTTTTTCCACCTGTGAGACCCAAGACTGAAGGTCCTGGCTGGTTGCCTGTCTGTGGAGAAATTGCCTCAGAGGGTTTTGTGCTTAGTCATTGGTTCAAAAGCATCAAAAGTGCTGAAGATGAGGAAAAAGGGCTGTGAGGGTCTCTTTGGGGGCTACTGGAGTGTGAGCCGGGAGGCAGCAGGAGGGCTCTCTCTTTTGTGGTAGAAGACCATGGGTTGGCAATCTACCAGCCCTCATACCTGGCAGAACAGCCTTACGAGTGACCTCCTAGTACAAGGTAAGTCAGTACTAGCATCTCCTCAGGACAGAGCCCTCAGGGAAATACTTACTGGGAGGGTTTAGCAGGTTGGCTCTGCCGGAGGTGGGTACATGAAGCTCCGAGTGGCTGACTCGGAGGTCAGGGCCATCAGGTGCGCCTGGGTCATCCGTCTGGCCTGCAGGGGAGGAAGCAATTTCTGCCAACACTTCCAGATCCTTCAAGACAACCTGGGGAGACAAGCGGAGGATGAAGGACACACTCCCTACTAATGGCTGAGCTGATGTGGCAGAGGTGAAGTCAGAGATGAGGAGTGTCTTGTCAGGAAGGGACACCTGTAGACCAAGTGCTGCTTGCCTATTGCTGTGAGAGGGCTTGGGGAAAAGTGGTGAAGGTGCGGATTAAGAGGATACCGATGGCGAGGCCTAGGAAAGGAAGCTGATCAGGTTGGAGAATCTTTCCTGCAGCCCACCTCTTTGACTCTGAACAAGGACTGGAGAGGGCTCCTTGAGATGCAGGTCCTGGGCATCAGGATGAACCATACATAGGATGTATCTCACAGTCTCTGTATTGTATGAGGTTCTTGGTCCTATACTTCCCTGTGCAAGAACAGACATCACTGCAGAGGTGACACTAGGTCACACAGAAACAAGTGGTCCGCTATAATTTGGGTGTGACTCTGGCCTCCAGACAGGACTGTCTCCCACGTGTTTCCACTCAGTTTTGGGTGGGGGCAAAGCCTCTTCAGCTGCCAACTTGCCTACTGACTCTTCCAGGGAAGAGGCAGAATACATGTGCAAGTTACTCTGGGCCATAGGTCCTCTTTCCCTTGGGGTTGCCTCTAAAGTGCCCCTAGCCCTGAAACAACATCATTTTCACTTGGCACCAGAGTTGCACAATGGCAAAGTCCATCCCATTGTTGTGTGTTCTATAGTCCCCCACATGGAGCTCCTCCCACTGCAGGTCCTGCCAAGTCTTTCTGCTCTCTACTCATCAGCTCTCAAGAAGGCTTGCCTCTGTCTCACCCACAGGTACATCCTTAGGACTAACTCTGACATCCAGCACATCTCAGCAAACCAGCTGAAGACAGGGACAGCTGTGCCTTTATTGTGCTACCTTGAACCCAGACCAAGAATTAATCATTGGATGGTGTGGGAGGAGGAAGGGGAAAAAAAGAACCACAGTAGGGAAGGGGACTAGGGGAAAAGCTGCAGAGCTCTGTGGTGGGCCCTGAGAGGTTAGCTGGGTGGAATTTGATAACACAAGGTCAAGATAAGGCTAAGATGTGGGTCCTTTTGGGATGATGAAATGTTCTGGAATCAGATAGTGATGATAGCTACAAATCCCTGTAAGCACAAATGCTCTTCAACTAAAATATTACAGTCCATACACCCAACCTATGAATACTGGAGTTCAGCAACACAGCACGCTGCAGACAACAAGTTGCTTTCCTTCAAGATGACAAGGCTCACTGGGAGCTGCTCACCACCGAAGGATATGAAGTGTAGTACACACCAGTGATCCCAGCACTTAGGAGGGAAAGGTAGGACCAATTTGGGTTTGGGGAGATGGCTCAGTGGGTAAAATGTTTGCCCTGCAAGCAAGAGGACCTGAGTTTGGATCTCCAGCATCCATGTAAAAAGTCAGGCACAGTGGCACATGTCTGTATCCATAGTGCTGGAGTGGAGGAGATGGTCATATCCAGGGGGCTTGCTGGCCAGCCAGTCTAGCTAAAATGGTGAGCTCCAGGTTCAGCAAGACACTCTGTCTCAAAAAGATAAAGAGAGCAGGCATGATGGCTTAGCAGGAAAAACCATTTGCCATCAAACCTGTTGATCTGAGATCAATTCCCAGAACTCACATGGTGGAAGGAAAGAACCAGTTAGCACAAGTTGTCCTCTGACCTTCATTTACATACATACGCCATGACAGGCATATTTGTGTATAACTCTGGAAAGGTCTCTGAAATGTGAAAGTGGCTCTATCAGGCCAGGTGACAAGCCAGTGCCTTACCAGATGCTATGTGGTTGTCACTTTTCTTGACACTTTTCTGCTTGTCAGTCTTCTGCTTGACCACCTTTCCTGTACCATTGTTGAGGATCCCTTTGCCTGCTGACCTTTTACGGCCTCTTGGTCTTCTCTAAGCTATATCACATATTTGGCACATGATCTTAACACCTGCACCTTGGCCTCCTCTAGGCTGGTCATGGCGTCATTCACACAGATGCCACCTCTACTGTTTCCCCAACACAGGCCCTGAGACATTCTTTAAGCCTGTATGAGTTCTTGCTCTTATCCAAGCTGCATAAGACACTGGGCTGTAGGAAGGAATCAAAGCCACCCTTGCCTATGGCTGTGGGCACAAGAATCAACAAAGCAATGGCCCTTGCCAGGAGCTTATGGTTTGCCTGTCCTTTTGTGGACTGGAATTTGGGTTTTAGTTACTCTTGGAATAGGTTCTATTTGCTGAAATGTGGGAAAGGGCTCTGCAGTGGCTGGAAGACATGGCCCCTACACAGCTCTGTCATATGGCAGGAACAAAAGGAAGTACCATGTCAGGCCAAGAACTAGAGGACCCTAGGTGGGTTTGGGTTGTAGCCCTAGGGCTCTGTTTCCTGAAAGGAAGAGTCTCCAGCAGTTCTCAGCTGTTGGAAGAGAAGAGGCAGAGGGAAGAGGTGTGGTGGGAAAGCAGATGACAAAGTTATGAAGAGTTTTGAAAGAGCAGCAGATCCTAGCCCCCACCATTCGCTGGTACTCCATTTCACAAGCAAGAACCTTCCCAAAGGTCAGGGATGGGAAGCTAGAGCAGGGACTTGGAGTGGGGGGGACAGTGTGTGGTGACTCAACCAAAACTAAACAGTAAGGCAAGAATCAAGCCAAGAAAAGTTCTACAATAATTAAACAGAGTTTTCAAAGGGGTACTCCTACTCCAAGGTGTTACCAAGAGAACTGCAAACATATGTTCACACAGAAACTTTTATGTGAACATTCATCCCAGGTGAACAATGGAAAGGTCCCTCTTCTGATAAATAGAATGTGGTATATCCAGTCCACAGAAAAATGACCTGGTCATAAAAAGAAATGAGGAAGGGGGCTTGACTCAGTGAGTAAAAGCTCTTGCTGTACAAACCTGATGAGCTGTAGGGTACATTTGTAATCCCAGTGCTTCTGTAGTCAGGTGGGAGAAAGAGACAGCCTGACATATGCTGTGTATCAGTAAAAACAACAGAGATCTTGGCTCAGTAAGATAGAAGGTAACTGACTCCTGAAAGTCATCCTTGACTGTGGCATGTGTACATACCACAATTTTTTTTAAAAAAAAGGTATTGGCCTATGTAGCAATAGGAAGAGCCTCATAAACACTTGCTAAGTCAGAGAAGGTAGATATACAAGGCTACAAACTACCATGATTACATGAAATGTCTAGAAGAGACAAATCTGAAAAGATGAAGGTACATTTGTGGTTGCCAGTAGTTAGGGTTGAGACTGCCAATGGGTACAGTTACTTTCTTGGGGGAATGAAATGTCCTGGAAGTAGGCAGTAGTGACGGTTAAAAACCTTGTGAAAACATTTTAAAAACTGTTCAGTTTTGGTATATGAACTGTATGGAAAATGTAAGAACTAAACCAAAATTTCAAATTAGCACACTAATTCCAGTCCGGCAGCATTTTAGAGAATTGGCTTTCTTTCACCACTGCCCAAACGGCAGTCCTTTCTAATGTCCTATGATCTGACAATCGGTTCAGACTTAGGACAGATGAGGAAGAGGAGGAGGTCACCCTGGTCTCCTTCATGCACTTTGCTTCTACAAGTCATGCTGTCCCTCAGGGATCTATCTGTGCAGGCGGACAGGGACACATGCCCTCTGAGCAACAAATCCAGGAGGTCAAATGTTCTGAGTGAGAAAAGTATGGGCAAGCAAGGCTGATGGTACAGATGCCCCCAGCTCTTGCACGATCCCTGACACCAGGTACATGACCCACTAGATGTCTGCAGGGCACTTTTTTCCATCTGAAGAGATGTCTAGGAAGAACCATTAGCACGCAGTAAGAATGAGCTGAACAAGGTCATGTCTCCTGGAGAAGCTCAAGAACCAGGCTACAAGAGACAGAGAGGTCAGAGGAGCAAGCTGTACTTGCTTCTGGCTAGAATTAACACTCTCAATCACCATCCGTGTCACCTTACATCGTTACATGAGGAATCTGAGATTTGTACTGTCACCAGCTCAAGATAGAGTGCCTGTTTCACACTCAGTTCTGGTCCTTAAACCTAAGTTTGTTAATAAAACTACTCACTAGGGCTTTGTGGTCAGACCTTCCAGACTCCCAACACCTCCCCTAGACCAGGTAATGCTATCCAATGCAGCTCTCTTCTTCCTAAAGCCTACTGAGTAGTTACTATGGGTCTGCTCTGACTATAGGAGACACATGGCTAGACAGGACAGGCTCTGACTGAGTCACAGGCTATAGGATGCAAAATTAAACATTTATTGAAAGAGAGTCTCTGGGCTTCAGGAATCAGCAACTTGGTCTGAGGGGAGCCAGGAGCCTTTGGAAACACTTGAACATGTATCCACCAAAGGCGCACGTGCGTGTGTGCTTGTGTAGGTCATTTGATACATTCTTTTAACTAGCATAAGCTGCTATGGATGCAGAGAACAACTCGGTACATTCCAGGAAACAACACTTGTGGTGCTTTAGCTCCAGAGAGGGATGTGAGGGCTGGAAGGTGTGTGTAGCTAGAAACAAGCTCAGGAGGCAGGCTAGAGTAGACTGTCACAAGCTTATGACCCACACAAAGGAATATGGGTTCCTTTTGCAGGTAATAGCATCTCTGTTTTCCTGTATGTACAAATGGAGACTTGACCAAGCAAAGCTGCCCTGAAGGATGTGAGACCAGTTGGCCCTCTATGCCCAAGGATTCAACCAACTGTGGACTGAAAATATTATTGTGATGTACATAAATACAGGAATATGAAGGTTTTTTCTTATCTGTTTCCTACACAATGAAGCATAATAGTATTGCCAAAGCATTTAATTGTATTGGGTATAATATGCCACCTAGAGATGACTTAAAGTGCATGCAACAGACTATGCAGGTTATATGAAAATATTGCCCATTTTATAGAAGAGATATACACATTTTCAGATTCTGGAATCCAAAGGGAATCTGCATAACGCTTTATGAATACCAAGGAACAAAGGGACTTCATGTACAGAGCACAGAAAGCAGGCTCGAAGATTCTGGTTTACCATTCTTATTACAAGACTTTTAATCCCAACACCAAGATGTTAATGGCTTTGGCTTGGTGATGGGGTGGGAATAAGTGTTCACACAAGGCTTTTCATGAGATTGTACACCATCCATCTCTGCATTATTACCTCCTGCCCACTGGACAGGAAAGCAGAGCCAGAAAGGCTGCACATTTTGCATTCAGAACTCTCTTATTTTAGAAAGCTTAACATCAAATGGCAAATGAATGCAAATTACACTTCAATTGCACAATTAAAGCCGGAAATGTTGTCTACAGGTTCCTCTGGTGATCCCCGCCACTCCTCCTGTGCTTACAAAGCAAATTATTTGTTTCTGGTCCTAGAGACTGGCAAAAAGCCCATAGCCCTGCCTGGGACACCATACATGCACAGGTGCACACACAATGAACTGACCCTTCCTGCCCCTTATATAGTACAGAATTGAAGAAGGGAAGGGGCTGCTTGAATGGACAGCAAGGAAAGACTTACAGACAGTGGATATTGGGGAGCTACTGTGGGACTATATAGTAGCTCTCTGACATTAGCTCTTGTGATCAAATCCCACTGCTAGCGGTTTCTCAGCTGACTCATAATCCCAATGTGGATCTTGGGCTTTGAAGCAACAATCAAAATAAAGATCTGGCCCAGGGAGGAGTGCTATGGTCTTGTCAACAGGGGCTCTGAGAGAGACAGCAGAGACAGTAGAGGTCCTCTCTTCCTGTCAGAACTGGCTTTGGGTCTCTGTGCCCAGCCAGGGTTGTGGTGTTCTACACTTCCCTGGAGACCCTGCAATCTTTGGAGTGTGGGTAGGAAGCTGTGAGACAAGGGATCCTTGCTCAAGGACCTCACAAGGCCAGAAGGAAAGGCCCCAGAGCCACAGACATGTGGCCAGTTTTGCTCCGCCCCCAGAAACCCAGATCCAGTTCTCCTGCCAGTGAGCAGGCTGCCTGGGTCCATGCCCATGGTTGGCCTAGAGTCCTGGCTCTGAGGATGGGGACTAGCTCAAAGAAAGCAGGAGGAAGCCACACCAATTAGTATGCGCTACACAGCATTTTTGCAAAATGAATATAAAACACTTGTGCTTTCTTTTTGTGTGAGAGAAAGAAGAGGGGAGGGGGAGGGAGGTTATAAGAAAGCAATATTCTGCAGGAGCAGGAGCTCCTGCTGTTACCATGGCAGTGGAAGGGGGTGGGGAGGGCCATCAGCTGGTCCCTGGTTCTGGAGTGCAATGTGCTGCCTTGACTCCTTGGTGGGGTGCAAGGGCCAAGGTTGAAGACAGTGAATACAGACAGCATCTGCCAAAGTGTCTCTGAGGGAAGCCTCAGCAGTTGCAGGAAAGGGGCTTCGCATTTCCCATGGGGTGGGCAGCAGAGAAGAGAAACCAGGGATTCCTAAGATGATTACCTTTGTTGGAGACAACTTTATAGTAGCAAATGGCATTTTCCACATAGGATAAACATGGACACTCTCATCTGTCACCCTCATTTTCTAGTAGCCAAGGGCAGCCCTCTCCTGGACTGTGTTGCTTTTCTCCCATCTTTTGCTGGTCTAATGGGTGTCCATCACTCCAACACCTGTCTAGAGCCCAGCTCAGGAAATGATGTAGGACTGGAAGGCTTTCTGTCTTTCCCAGGCACTGTGGCTGCTCCACTGACCCAGCTGGTAAGGCTATAGGCTGCAGACAAGTACTGCGGTTTCAAGTCCCCACACTGGGAAGCCTGTTCTTGCCGTCAACCAACACTCTGGCTCTAAGTCCCAGGCAATCACTTAGGGGATACTGACCTACTGTAGCATAGGGAAAGGAAATAGATGATGTATAGTTTGGAATAACTGCTACCAAAGGGATGGATGGATAAGACTACCCACTGAACTTTAGGAAGCATTAGGAAGTTCTAGGTTTATGTAGGCAAGCGCTAGCTGAGGCTCTAGATGTCAACTGGCTCAGGAACCCAGCTCCTTTGAAGGGGAATCTTTTTTCTATTGTCAGGAAAATCCCAAACTGTGCTCTCTCCAGTGCTGGCTGGGAAGAAGCTCTAAGAATGTTCCCAAGAGGCACACTTTGTACTGGCAAGAGAGATGGATGCAGCTTCTGACTCTGGACGCTGCACTCTGGCTAGTGTAAGCCAGTGCCAAGGAATATCTGAAGACTCTGTCCAGAACAGCTGATTATAGTGTCTCACAGGTGATCTGGGCCAGGTCAGGTTGTCCCTCATGCTCTGAAGCAAGGCTGACAGGAAGGCAGAGGCACCAAGGCCTGGTTTTCACAGGAACACTGGGCTTTCTGTTTCTGCCCACATAGGAACTAGTTCCTTTTATTATAAGGGTAGAGCTCAGTGGCTAGGCCTCCTCCATCCCTGACCACATATGACTTGGCTCTTGCTGCCCTGGGGCTTGGGGAATCAGCCAGAGAATTCACCCTAGGAAGCCAGACTGAAGGCCAAGAGCAGTGGGAAATGCACCCACACCAGCTGGCAGTGGGGCTGGAGGCCTCTGCCCTAGACACAAGGTAAACAGGAGCTGCAGAAAGCAGCAGGCAGGCTGGCATTCTGAGCAAAGCTGTGGTCACACGGTACCATGAGAACCCTGCCCTCTGCAACAAGATGAGCACTGCCCTAAAAAAATGAAGTCTAGAATTCAGGTGGATAAGGTCTGTCTAGGTGTGAACACATTTCCTGTCCTATTAGAAAACTACTCAGGTTGCTTTTTAGTGTCTTGGCAAAGCAAAGTAACTTGCACCTGGACACATACACAGCTCACAGCCAACGTTGGCTGACTGAGTACACATCCTAGGGAAATTTAGGCAGCTTTTTTATTTTTCCAAATGGACTTCGGAGATCTTTCCTAGTGTCTAGACCTAGACTGTCTATACGAAGGCCAGTCAGTACCTATGCTACTGTCAGTCCCACCGATTAGTTGTGTAGGTTAGTGTAGATGATGCTGGTGGTTGCCCCTCTTGGGGTACAGGAGAGAAGAAAGGGTAGCCTAGGGTAGGATCACTGAGAGAGTGGACTGCTGAACTCATTCCCTAACCCCACAGGTCTTCCTTCCTGCTGATACAGCCATTCTCATTCGTACTGACCTGAGATCCTAGTTCTTAGGGTTGGAAATTCTCTGAGATTGTTAGGGAACTCAGTGCAGCTGGAGAGTGGTACACGTGCATGCCCTTAGAGCTCTGCCATCAAGTGATGAGCCCGTGCATTGTGGTAACCAGCAGAGGGTGGGGGTTCTGATTCTCCCCAGAGTTCTGCTTAACCCTGGTTTATTGGTGAGCTTCCCACAGACCTGGCCTGAGACATGGACAGGGCTGCGTGGGACCAGCACATTCTGCAGCCGACTTGCTTGTTAACCTTCTTGTGAAATGTTTCTGAGCAGCAGCCATGGGCCGGACAGACTTCTCGTACAGCTCACAGCTAACCTGCCATTGTAAAGAGTGATAAGGGCTATGAGTGGATGGACATAAAGGCAGAGAGGACCTGGCCCAGTCTTAACGTGTGGGAGAATGTAAATTGGGGACAGAGGCAGTCAGAAAGAGGGACAGAGAGGGAGAAGGAAGGGAGGAGAACGGGGAGAGAGGTGAGAAAGAGAAAGAGAGAGAGAGAGAGAGAGAGAGAAGGAAGGAGGGGAAGAGAGGGAGTGGAGTAGAGGAGAAGAAAGGAGAGATCATACATTGGCTTCAGAGGGATTTAGGAAACCAACTACAGATCTGGACCAAATAAATTCCTCAACTTCGCTGGGTTCTTTGAAACTAGTTTCCTCTCAGGTGAAACGGAAAAAACCCTGGAGCCCTCTTGTGAGGCAGCTGTGAGGATGAAGGTGAGTGCTGGGACCAGGCCTGTGACAGAGCCAGAGAGTTGGCTGAACTGTGGAGAGTGGCCCTCTACTGTGAACCACAGGAAACTGCCACTTTCAGTTTTCCAGAAGAGGGGAAAAAAACCACGCAGTCTGGAAGAACACTTGACTTCTAAAGACGACAGGAGCAGTGTGTGGTGCATGGGGTGAGCACAGGGGGTCATGGTCTGGCTACTGCTTCCAGACTACATGGAGAGGCATGGGAGTTGAGAGCTGGGGTCCTCACTTCCACAGATCTTATGCTGGTCCACAGTTGTAGCTCCCAATCAGATATGTGCACAATGTCTCTTGGGAGTCTGAAAATGCCAGCGCCGCCCAGGCAACCAGACCCAGGCTGAGGGCGCAGCGGAGGGGATGTGCAACGAGGCCCAAGCAGCTGGTTCTGAAACTGCAGAGGATTCTGATGTAGCCTGGTATGGACAGTGCTGCAGGGCTTTGAAGTCTAATGGTTGAACTTTGGCCCCTGAAGTGTGATCACTTTAGAAGTTCAAGGAGAGATGAGCACTGGGGGTCTGTGGCAGGGCCAGGTGGTTTACCCAACCCTTTAAGCAACTCAGTTCCCTATCCCAGGAGCAATCTGAATCCTTCTGTTTAGTCTTCCTGCTCCAAGCAGGCTCTACCCCCGAGAAAGCAAGCTTGCTTTTCCACTGCCTTTCTCAGCCCACTCTGCCGTCCAACAGGAGGGAGCCAGGCAGCGGCTTGCTACAGGGCAAGCTACTCCACTCAGGGCAGTCACTGGCCTCAGATCTGGCTGCATGTCTGTCCTCTGTCCTATGCAAGTATCGAGATAGACAAACAGACAGGGCCTTCTGGCCCACAAAACTGGCTTTGTGGTGGGACAAGAACAGGTTTCCTATGGTTACTGTGAGCTCCCCATTCCCTCTAGGGTGGCTAA